AAAAAAAAATCAATTATTTTTTTAGATTCTTTCTGAGTTACCTGTATAAACATATTTCATTCATAGTATAATTTCAAAATCTAATTGTTGAGTTCCAATTCCCTCAATTAGAGGTTATCAGATACAATAACTACTCTAATAAAGCTATAACTTTGAATTCCATTTTATTCCTAAATAACTGTATTGAATAAGAGAAATCTTAAATAATTGTATTGAATGAGAGAAATCTTAAAAATAGGAAAGTCAACATATTGAGCTAAAACTAAACAGGGGCAATCTCATCTCATCAAGGAAATCATGTGATTTTTCTCAAATTTTTATAAACACCATTGATGTGTCAAAATTAGTTCCCATGAAACAGGATGTTTTCAAAAATCGGTCCAGATTCATACTCTTCAAAAATCTTAAAAATAGGGTGCACATTTGTTCTATAATAATTAGGAGATTTGTTCCGTAATTAGGACAGATTTGGATGATTTGATTTGTACAGTTTTTTATTTCCTTATTTCCTTAATTAGGAGACTAGTAGTATATATAAATGTATTTTGAGGAATTTTTAATTATAGCTGATTATTACAGTTTTTATTTCCTTAATTATAGCTAATTTGTACAGTTTTTTATTTCCTTATTTCCTTAATTAGGAAACTTCTAAATAAATCTCTAGTTTTCGATTAACTTTTAATTTTTAGGAAAGTTTCCATTTCATTAAGTTCATAAATAGGCAAAACAGGAAAATAAAAAAAGGAAACAAATAATAGGCAATTCTTATAATTAAATAGGAATCCCTATAAATCAGTAACAATAATAAAGAATAAATCGTAGATCCTAATCCCTGAAATTCTGCAACGGTGGAGTCGATACGCATTTGAGAGCGGGAGCGACGGCGAAGACAGAGGAGGAAGCACTTGAGCTCTCCGTGGTTGCTCGCGGCGGCTGGGACGTTGCTGAGTGAAAGGCTTTAACCTAGCGTGGTCGCGGGGTACATATCAGGGGCTCACTTCTACATCGGTCATAATAAAAACCGATGTAGAATGGCTCATATTTACATCGTTTCTCCTCCTAACCGATGTAAATATGTTTACATTTTCTATTTATTTACAAGTTTGCCACCGCGTTTATGATTTACATCGGTTATAGTAAAACCGATGTAAATTTAGCGATGTAAAAGAGTGTTTTTGTAGTAGTGCAAACCCGAGATGATTGGGCATTTTCTAGCTGAGTTCTCTATTTCATACAAGCCCGTTAAGCACGGAAGACCTGGTATTGGTGCTACTCACTCATCCAGGTTCATTCCTCTCAAGTGAAATCTGTTCGAGGGAAGTTACATTTTAGTTTGTAGTGGTTCTGAAGTAAACCTTCAACTCCTATCAAAGATTTTGTTTTGTTGTTTGAGCATTTGATTTTCAATTTGCCTATTTATGTTTTGACAGATGGTTTATCATGACTTGATTCCATAGTATCAACATTTTACTGTTTAATTTTATGAAGTTAAATTTATTTTGATAATTGACGCGTTTGTTGCGAGATATGGTTTATCATAATTGATTCCGTGGTATCACCATCTATATTGAAATGGTATTTTTGATGAGCGTATTTGGATCTTTGTACAAGCAAAGGCTGATTTGCCATGGGTTTTGAACGTGTTATTGATGGAGTTAATGGAACTTTGACACATGGTTGGTAGTTTGATACACCAATTTGCAATGGGTTGAGCCGGATTGGCTACTTTTTCAAGTTTGGGTTTGTTACTCTTGTTCAGCATACACTTGCAATTTAGGATATAGAAATTATTAATTTTCTTGTTATTGTTTTGTTCTGATTTGATGTGTTTATATATTATTATCTCCAGTCCTTTTTATATCAAGAGTTGAGCAAAAAAAACTTTTGTAAGAACCTAGAATAAATATTTAATATATTCTTTGTTTTCTAACAGAGAGGACTTGAGGATGTCATGAACCACCTTCTGTAAGAATCCAGAAATTGCATCATAACCTGCCAATGCAATTTCTGGATTGCACGTCAAGGTTTGGAATATACAATTCTGCTATAGCTTCTAATCTTAATTGGGACTTCATTAAGTTCATAACTCGTGTTAATGAATCATGTTCAACAGTGAAGAGAAAGGAGTTCCTGATGAGTTTGACCGTTTCTTGATGGACCCTGTTCCTTTTGTGTCTGAATATGCAAAAAAAATGTCTCTGCCCAACCACATTGTTTTATTTGATTCAGAAGAACAAAAATTGAGGAACCTTTTGATTTCATTTGATTATAGAGAGGTAAATAATAAGACTTCCCTAAGTTAATTATTACACGGATTTCTAATGCTTAATACCGAAAATTTGTCCTCTATTTTCTAACATTGGGATTCAACAACAGGAAAAAAGATTTTTTAATGCTCACTTCAAGGTTGATCGTGATCTTCAAGCTTCAATTGTTGTATACGTTCGAACAAGATAGCAATATTCACCTGTTCTGCAGCAAATTTGGCATCGTGACAGTTCATTTTCTTTTCTTCACGTTGCTGCACTCCAATATTAATTCTAGTAAATTGATCTCTTTGATGTAAATTTAGCGATGTAAAAGAGTGTTTTTGTAGTAGTGCAAACCCGAGATGATTGGGCATTTTCTAGCTGAGTTCTCTATTTCATACAAGCCCGTTAAGCACGGAAGACCTGGTATTGGTGCTACTCACTCATCCAGGTTCATTCCTCTCAAGTGAAATCTGTTCGAGGGAAGTTACATTTTAGTTTGTAGTGGTTCTGAAGTAAACCTTCAACTCCTATCAAAGATTTTGTTTTGTTGTTTGAGCATTTGATTTTCAATTTGCCTATTTATGTTTTGACAGATGGTTTATCATGACTTGATTCCATAGTATCAACATTTTACTGTTTAATTTTATGAAGTTAAATTTATTTTGATAATTGACGCGTTTGTTGCGAGATATGGTTTATCATAATTGATTCCGTGGTATCACCATCTATATTGAAATGGTATTTTTGATGAGCGTATTTGGATCTTTGTACAAGCAAAGGCTGATTTGCCATGGGTTTTGAACGTGTTATTGATGGAGTTAATGGAACTTTGACACATGGTTGGTAGTTTGATACACCAATTTGCAATGGGTTGAGCCGGATTGGCTACTTTTTCAAGTTTGGGTTTGTTACTCTTGTTCAGCATACACTTGCAATTTAGGATATAGAAATTATTAATTTTCTTGTTATTGTTTTGTTCTGATTTGATGTGTTTATATATTATTATCTCCATTCCTTTTTATATCAATATTTGATCAAAAAAAACTGTTTTAATAACCGAGAATAAATATTTAATATATTCTTTGTTTTCTAACAGAGAGGACTTGAGGATGTCATGAACCACCTTCTGTAAGAATCCAGAAATTGCATCATAACCTGCCAATGCAATTTCTGGATTGCACGTCAAGGTTTGGAATATACAATTCTGCTATAGCTTCTAATCTTAATTGGGACTTCATTAAGTTCATAACTCGTGTTAATGAATCATGTTCAACAGTGAAGAGAAAGGAGTTCCTGATGAGTTTGACCGTTTCTTGATGGACCCTGTTCCTTTGGTGTCTGAATATGCAAAAAAAATGTCTCTGCCCAACCACATTGTTTTATTTGATTCAGAAGAACAAAAATTGAGGAACCTTTTGATTTCATTTGATTATAGAGAGGTAAATAATAAGACTTCCCTAAGTTAATTATTACACGGATTTCTAATGCTTAATACCGAAAATTTGTCCTCTATTTTCTAACATTGGGATTCAACAACAGGAAAAAAGATTTTTTAATGCTCACTTCAAGGTTGATCGTGATCTTCAAGCTTCAATTGTTGTATACGTTCGAACAAGATAGCAATATTCACCTGTTCTGCAGCAAATTTGGCATCGTGACAGTTCATTTTCTTTTCTTCACGTTGCTGCACTCCAATATTAATTCTAGTAAATTGATCTCTTTGAGATGACTTTATGTCCACTTGGTCCTAAATCTAGTGAACTAATCATTGATCATGTGGTATGGTTGAATGTTATTCATAATATCTATATCTCTGTAGGCAATCGAAGGAGTTCAAAAGATCAGATATGGATATAACCCTGCTACGTGGACACTAGAGGTTACTTCTCTAACAATTATATTTAGCTGATATATTTTATGTTTTCTAACAATCAGTGATGGAATCATGCCTAGGAAGGCAAGAGGTGAC